AATCTGGGTTTGACAAGGCCTTTTTACTGAATGTGAAACTAACAATAACTAACCCTTGCTCTATGGGGGTTTCAGATATATTTTTGGACTATGAGACTTTAAGAGACTAAGACACTGACCAATTCTTAGAAGTTAAATGACACAACCAACAAGTGCCTTGACTTGCACTCATATAGCAATGCATATTTTTAGCAGCTGCTGTTTGCATGGAGAAAGTGTATGTTTAAAGGGGGTAAATTTATAATTTTTATGACTCCCTTTATTTAACAAAAGGAGATACTGCTGACCTCAGCACTATCAATCAGAACATGCACTCCAACTTGTTTTCTCAGGGCTTGGGATGAATTCACGTGGAACCATCCCCACCCTTTCACCACTGTGAAAAGCAATCTACCTTGGTAAGATAGCTGGTTAAAGTTTGGTAGATACAGTCTGGATCTATGGCTATGAAACAGAGAAAAGCAAAATAGGAGAGTGATGTGGAATTTCACATCGCCTTGATCTCATTAACATAAGACCCAGGTAATACTAATCTACACCTTCTTGTTTCCAGACCAGAACATACTCTTCACCATTAAGGCAATATATATTTAGCTGTGTGAAGAGATGCCACATGCATTTTGTTGTTTTTTAGCCTCATTATTCTGCCTTTCCCCAGTGCCTTTCTCCAATTCCCCATAATGGAGAGTGGTTTGGCCATATTTCAGATTTACATTCAACTCTTTTACTCTCAGGCGAAATCTCTCTCTCCTCTCTCTCTCTCTGTACCCCTTTTTCCCTCTTGCCCTCCCCCTCCTTTTTTAACTGGGTCTAAAGCTTACCCCTAAACTACCCCCTGCCACAGTTTGCACACATAGAGTAAAGCAGGCTTTCCCTACATGTTGATTGCTGACTCACTTGCTGTAATCCTCAGGTTACTAGTGTACGGAGGTTTTAAATTTGGTCACATGAACCCTTTCCCCTCCCCACAATATATTAAATTTTTGTGATAGAAACATAAATAGATAGCAGGAAGACAGTTATTGTGAGATGACATTACAAAGAATGATGCCAGAAACACCAGCATTTATAGCAGGGTGCAAAATCACAGAAAATTCTGATTTTAAGGCATTTAAGGAAGTTTCCTATTAGGTAATGTCTTTGTACAAACACTCTGACAAAGTTTTGACCTTGATCCCACATGACATAAAGCAAAGATGAAAAACTGTTGTTGTCTCTAAATAAAATATGGCTTGAGTTATTTTTATTTTCCATTATTTTAGAGAAAGTTGTAGATAAGTTTGACCTCCCAGAATGTTGATAGGTCATTAGAAAGAGAAAGGTCAAAGGTACCTTCCCTGGTCATTCCGTTTCACTATTTTGCTTGCTATTATCTCAGATGCAAGGCCGGAGAGCATCATTACCATTTTTACAGAGATAAAAATCACTATTTTTCAACAAGACGTTGGCACCTGCGAAGTTTTCATCCCTTTCCCTATTACAGCTGGGTCTTTCTTCTAGCAACATCATTTGTAAAGCTGTCTTACTTTTAAGCTGCCCATCTCACTAAGCATGCTAACCCAAAGGCTCAAAGGCCAAGTCCAATCTTATTGAGGATACTTAGTGATAAAAAATGGAATTAATTTTAATTTACTAAATTCTTTCTTCTAGACTTAGAAAAAACTTTAAAGTGGGTATAACACATGAAATCGTGAAAATATCAGTATCTTTCCTAAATCTTACCAATCATACACCTCAAACAAACTGACTGAATCTTTTCTTGAAAAACTTAAGTTATGAAAACAAGTTGTAACACCAGAGATTTGTGTCTGGTCCCTCCTAGAACTAGTCACCTTCCTCTCCAGTGGCCCTCCTAGGCACCCCCCCAATTGTCCTCCCTTTTGGTTTTCTTTCATTTGGGTCCTATCCTAATTGGATCCTCTGTGCAGCTTGATGATCCTTTACACTATCCCACTCTCTACCTCCCACCCTGAAGTTACTACTTAAATATGCCACTGCCCAGAAACTCCCACCCCCACCTGGACCTTCTGTCCTCACTTTTGGGTGCCTTGTCTAAGGGACACACAAGGGGAACCCTCAATTTCCCTTCTTTTTGCCACACATATTAGTGTCTGCTCTCCTCTTCTCCTATCCCAAAGGAAGAGGTGGCCTTTCCAAACCCACTCATGCCATCAAATTTACTTCCTTTTATTTTTTTATTTGTGAACATTTAATAATTTTATTTTCACAACACAGAAGTATATAAAGTAGAATCCCTCCATCCCACTGCCCCACTCTACTCCATTTTTTTCTGAAAAGAAAAAAAAATTTTTCCAGACATTTTCTATACCTTTTCAAATGTCAGCGTATAACGTAAGGCACACATAAACATATAATATACATATCATACTTATGTAGCAAAAATTGGCCTTTATATTTTATATACTTAATAGTACAATGAACATGCCTTCAAAACAGTATTCAGGGCTTATCTCCTTCTTTTACATATTTCTTGTGCTTTCAAGTTTCTTCAGCTGTCTCCATCCCCATGGTTCAAATTTCTCCCAAATTCCAAAGAACTTTGTATCTCTCAGCCATGTATCCCACCCAACTCCTTCCCTTCACAGCCAGGAGTCCTTGAAGAGCTTCCCTCACTGCACTTCTTTGCTTCCCACCTAACTCCCTGGTCCTTGCAGTTTGGTTTCTGCCCCTCCTCCACCCATATTTGCTTAAAAATCAAAAGTGATCACCAGACCAAGTGAATACTTTTCACCTCCTTAGGGCCTTTCCTGCAGCCTTGTGTACTGCTGAGCATGCTCCTCTTGCAACTCTCTTCCCCCTATTCTGACTAGTCCTAAGGACCTTATTGCCTTCATGGTTCCTAACTAAGGGTGATTTTGCCCTCCAGTGGACATGTTACAGTATATGAGGATAATTTTAGTTGTCACAATGGAGGGGTGGGTGCTATTGGCACCAAGTGTGTAAAGGCTAGGGATTCTGCCAAACATCCTAAATGCACAGCACAATCCCCTGAAATATGTAAGTATCCAGCCCAAAGTATCAAGAGTACTGAGGTGGTAAAACTCTGAGGACATTTCTAACAAGTACAGACCCTTTAATAACTAGCTAGGAATCTGGCCCCAAATCTTGAAAATGATTATCTGTATCTGTTCCCAAATGAGACAATTCAAAGTCACACCCAGATGCTGCAGAGATGTCCCAGGCCCATGACAACTTCAGTTTCTAGGTCCCCAGTTCCCAGGTAATATCCAAGGCTCCTCCAGTTGTCTCAGTCTTGTCCAGGTGTGAACCTTACCATCCTTCCACCTGTGGGCTAAGGCATACATTTAACCCTGCTCAATACAGCTTATAATAAGAGGGGGAGACATAGACAACCATCCCCCTCCCCCTTTCTTGGTTTGCCGTCTTCCTCTGGAAATTGATTTCCATTTAGGTATGTTCTATTCCACACTTCTGAATTCACTGACGGCTTTGTAGCCAGATTCTTCTCTCACTATTAACCTGGTAATGAGTTGGTGGAGAGAATCCCTCAGGATGGCAGCATACTTTGGTCAGTGATCTAAACCAATAAACCCTCTGGGTACTATCAGATGCTGACTTACCTCCTTGGCAGTGGCATGTGACTGTACCCAGTTCTGCCCACTAGGTACTGGGGAGGATTCTTCTGTCATAGGGCTGAACAGCCATAGCAGTCCTTGCTTGCAGCTGATGCTGGCATCCTCTATATGCAGCCCTAGGGCACCTGGATGGCTCATTCGGTTAAGCATCTGACTCTTAGTTTCGGCTCAAGTCATGATCTCTCAGTTTGTAGGCTTGAGACCCACATTGGGCACTGTGCTGGCAGTGTGGAGCCTGTTTGGGATTCTCTCTCTCCCTCTCTCTCTGCCCTTCCCCACTTGCGCTGTTTCTGTCATTCTCAAAATAAACTTAAAAAAAAAAAGTATGTATGCAGTCCTAAGATTCCCTTGGAGTAGGAAATCTCTGCTGTGTCATATGCCTGTAGTTAACCCTAGGCCTGTTTTGATTGTTTCTTGTGATATAACTTGCTTAGAACGTGAACAAGATTCCTGTCCAGTTTATTCTTGGAGACTCATGGGATGCAGGAATCTCTACTACCATCACTCCCTGATGCACCTCCCCAGCCAGTTCCAACATTTTCTTTGATGGTCTGTGGTTTGCACCTGCTCTTCTGGTATCAATTTCTGACTTGGAAACAATCTGGTTGTCCAGAGCAGGAACCCATTCAAGTTAACTTAAAGAAAAGGGGATCTCTGTAGTGTGGATTTTCATGCAGAATAATTGCAGGAAGTGGAAAAGTGGTCAGGCCACTACTGTTTCCGTCTCTGGGGTTGCAGGATCAAATCCTCTGCTTCTCTATTCCTGGCATCCTCTAAAAGACACTCAGCCTCTATAAAGCACACGGTTCTGCTCCCCCACAGTCAGGGTCAGGCCTCAGCTGTGGCCTCACTGTCCATGACTCCAACTTTGGCCCCAACCCCAAATAACCTACCACTTCCTTGCCCAACACCATCCTGACTATGTGACTATGGAAAATGCCTCTCTAGTGTGAGAACCTGTGTGGCTAAGCATGAGTCAGATGTCCACTCCTCCAATCATATACAGCCTATGTGGGGAGAGGGGTGGGTTGTCACAAACATGGCTGCTCAGGTCCACCAGATACTAGAGTAGGGAAGGGAGGCACATACTAACAGAAGCTACTGTGCTTCTGGGGTGTAGAACGCTAATGCTCTGGAATACAAAGGGGGTCATCAAAACAAGTCTCTATATTTTATTCCCCGAACCACCCAATCTGTACCCTCTACATGCACCACCCCATACCCCACCCCACCCCACTTTTCCACCTCTCAGAACCCCCTTGCCCCATCCACCCACCCTCCCTTTCCCCCCACTCTTCCCAAACCCTCCCATACTTCTTCCCCTCCTTCTGAAAATTGATTTCCCATTGAGATATGCTTCCATTCCATTTCACATTTCTGAATTCACTGAGGGTTTTGCAGCCAGATTCCCCTCCCACAGCGGAAGCAAGTTTCCCTCCGTGAAAAATTCACAGCTTTACACCAAGGGCAGTCCCAATCCCCTGGTCTACGAAATATGGGAGGTCTTTGCTGAAGGACATCAGAGTCTACCCTCTCTCTTTGGGATTCTTGAGGGCTTGTTCCCTGAGACCCCACATAAGACCACAAGTTAACATCAGAGGGCCTCCAGTGGGGAGACATCTGAGATGGAGCTCCTGGGGTAAACAATATTGCTGGTGGGGTTGGTGTGGGCACAGGCGGGAAGGGGGAAAGGGGGCAGTCATAGGAGTATGTGAACGAGGCAGGGAGCTGTACAGGCAGGGGTGATGGTGTGGCTGTGGCCCCCGGCTTCATTGTCCCAGAGAAATGCAACATGGCTGTATCCAATGACCTGACATCTCCCTCCCTCTGCCCACCAGAGGTGTAACTTTTCTGCTCTGCTCCAGGAACGTGCACGAGGCCTCCATCTGGGTTGTTTGTGGCCTCTGCCCCTTCTGCATCTTTCTGTCTTCTTCCTCTTCCTGTGGCACCAGCAGCAGTAGCAGAAGTACCGGCAGACCCCGCCTTTTCCTCCTCACCTGCTCCTTCTGTCCCAGCCTCACTGGCAGTGGCCAAGCCTGGCTCCTCTGCAACCTGCATCCGCTCCCGGGAAGACTCCAGCTCCTGCAGAGAAGTGGGCAGGGTTGAGACCTATTTTGGGGATGGTAAGGGGGGGTGGGACAGGGAGACAGGGCCAGGAGATGGGGCAGGGACCAAGTTGAGGCAATCTTACAGCCCGGAGGAGCTTCCATCTCAGGAGGTCCCTTTCCTTCCGTATCTCCGTCAACTTTGCCTGTGTCTGCTGCAGACGAAAGGCTGCCTCCCTGCGCTCCATCTCCTGCTGTGCTGTGAGCTCCTTAAGGTCTGAGGCCAAGGTCTGTGCAGCAGACTTATGCAGTTTGGCGAAGTCCTGCAGCCAGTGCACCCTGTGCCCATGTAACTGGCCCTGCCTGCGGGCAAAGCGCACTCCCAGGGCCAGGCTGCTCCAGGCACAGGCGTCTTTGGCCTCGCTGGACACTGCGCTGTCCTCCAGGATGGCCTTGAACTTGTTCTCCACCTCCTCCCAGGACTGAGATATATTCTCGAGGTAGAACTCGGGGCCTTTCGTGTGCCCGGCCATCTTCTCATTGATGAAAGCTATCACGTTGCCATGCTGGAACCCACCACTGGGGTCTTCGGGTTTCAAGGCCATGGCAGCTGAAGGCTTTCGGGGCTTGTCAGGTCCTGCAAGGATAAATCAACCAGTTGCCCCTTCCGCTCCCCTTTAATCCCTTCCCCCTATAGCCCCTCCCCTCCCCCCTCGGTCTCTTCCCTTTTGATTGCACTGCCGCACCCTCCTGAGACCCTCATAAAGACCACTGACTGGCTTGCCTTGCCATAGTACACTTCTCACCAGGCCTTGCCTCCCTAGCTAAGATTAGAGGAGGTGCAGTCCTCCCATGCCTGCCTATGGAACTTAAAGAGAAAGTGAGAAAGCGCACCTCTCTCCCTTCAAGGGCTCCGAGGAAAGGAAGTCTCCAAGCTAACCCTCGGGGCTTTTACCGTGGGACTGTTCCAACTTCAGAGATACTAGGGGTGGGAAGGAATGAACAAGGAAAGTCCTTCCATCTGCCCCGGGACATAAGGGAACTCGCTACATTGTTGAAAGTCCTTGAGGTGGCGGAGGAAACATGAGTGGTCAGAAAAGACAGAACTGAGAATTTGAAACACTTGGAATCAAGTACAAAAATTTCACCTCCTACTCTCCACCTCCACCAAAATGGTTTGTCCCACATTAGGAGCCCCTCCCCTCTTAGACATGGAATATTCTAGAACAAGAAAAAAAGCCTCCTCCTGGCCAGGAAAATTCTGTATCTCCTGTTCCAGAGTCTCCTGAATTGGAATATGAAGGTTAGAAAATTGTTTAGGTAAAGGGCCAGGTAGTAATTATTTGAGGCATTGTAGACCAAGGACCTCTGTCCCAAATATTTACAGAATAAAAGCAGTCATAAGAAATACTTGAAGAAATGAGCATGGCTATGTTCTAATAAAACTAGTGCATTAAAAATAGGCAGCCAGCAGGATTTGGCCTGTAATTTGCCAACTCCTAGTCTAGACTCGTATTTCCTGCATATCCAAAGATAACCAAAATCCAAATATTCACTCTTTCCCCCAAAAGATGATTCTTCTGTATTCCTGTGTTCAGTATAGAAACCTCAAAATCATCAACACTTGCCTTAATAACATAGGAAATTGGTCCCCAAGTCTTGTTACTACTATCTCAGAAACTTCTTTTGACATTCATCCCCATTTAGAGAATGCCCACATAGCCTCCTCAATAAATTCTCTAATCTCTTTCTAACTCCTAATCTTTCCTATGACCAGGCTACTTTCAAGTTTAAAAATATTTGATGGCTTCCTGTGACAAACTCCTTGGGGTAATATTATATTCTCACTCTAGTCTACCTTTCTAATTTAACTCTCTTTATTCTCTTTTTTGCCATTATTTAGGCACTGAAGGAAGTAGACATGCACAGATATACTCATTTTGGGTTTTATTTATTATATGAGAATTACATTTTGTTCTATGATATACATTGAAATAGATAACACTTCCTCTTTAAGGATCTTGTGTCAGATAGTGAGAAAAAAATAATGTATCAGGAATTAGTATATTACTTAAGAAGGTAGTTAAATCCCAGAGGTACAAATCCCACTGTTTTAGCTTTCTTTTTTTCACTGTTACCTTTTTTTCCCTTTTTTCACTGTTACCTTTTTTCCCCATTTCATTTTGTTTATTTTATTTGTTAGTCTTGGGACTAATAAATAGGAAGTGTTCATGTTTTGGCTTGTTCTAGAGTGACTTCTGCAGAAAGATCATTTGCGAGATAATGTAGAAATTGGAATGGCAAGGAGAGAGGGGAGATACTGGACTCTGGGAGACCCATTATGGGGATGCCACAGTAATTTAATATGTAAACTAAGGTAGTAGAAGTTAGAATGGAGACAAAAGTGTAGAGAGCTATTTGCTTGATAGAATTTATAGGAATGTCAGGGACAGGGATGAGAAAATGAGTAAGGTAATTCCCAGGTTTCTGCTACAGGGAACTAAGTAGATAGTGATGCTGCAGACTTAGATGAAGAATGAAAGAGAAGCTGTTTGGAGGGGGATGACCTGTAGACATATTGATATTGAGATTTCTGTGGGACATCCTAAGAGAGATACCCCACAGTCAGTTAGATGTATGAGTCTAGTACTTAGGAGAGACATAGGGGCTGGAGATAGAGTATTGAAAAGTAGAAATTGGATTCAAGGTAGTAGTTGAAATAACCCAGGGAGAAGATATATAGCAAGAAGAACAGAGTGCAGAGGATAGCTCTTTTCTCCCTCATGGTTTTATAGCTGACTTGCTTACTCCTTTGCTTACTCTGATTCTGGATTTAGTTAACATACAGTGTAATATTAGTTTCAAGTGTACAATATATAGTGCTTTGACACTTACAAAGAACACTCAGTGTTCATCACAAATGCACTTCTTTTTTTTTTTTTTTTTTTTTGAATATTTTTTAATTTATTTCTAGGAGAGAGAGAGAGACAGCGTGAGCAGGGAGGGTCAGAGAGACAGGGAGACACAGACTCCGAAATAGGCTCCAGGCTCCGAGCTGGCAGTCAGCACAGAGCCCGACGCGGGGCTCGAACCCACGAACCGCGAGATCATGACCTAAGCGAAAGTCGGACGCTTAACCGACTAAGCCACCCAGGCGCCCCACAAATGCACTTCTTAATCCTCACCATTGATTTCACCCATACCCCACTCACCTCCCCTCAGTTTGTTCTCTTTAGTTAAGAGTCTGTTTCTTGGTGTGCCCCTCTCATTTTTTCCCCATGATAATTTGTTTTGTTTCTTAAATTCTGCATATGAGTGAAATTACATGGTATTTGGCTTTCTCTGACTGACTTATTTTGCTTAGTAATACTTGAAAATAATACTTTCTAGCTCTGTCCATATAATTGTAAATGGCAAGATTTCATTCTTTATATATATACCACAGCATCTTTATCCATTCATCAGTCCATGGACATTTGGGCTGTTTCATATTTTTACTATTATCGATAATGTTGCTATAAACTTCAGGGTGCATATATGCCTTTGAATTAGTATTTTTGTTTTCTTTGGGTAAATACCTAGTAGTGCATTTACTGGATTATGGAGCAGATATATTTTTAACTTTTTGAGAAATCTCCATACTGTTTTCCAGAATGGCTGCACTTGTTTGCATTCCCACCAACAGTGCATGAGTGTTCCTTTTTCCACATCCTCGCCAACACTTGTTATTTCTTGTGTTTCTGATTTTAGCCATTCTGACAGGTGTGAGGTGGTATCTCAGTATACTTTTGATTTGTATTTCCCTGATGGTGAGTGATGCTGAGCATCTTTTCATGTGTCTGTTGGCCAACTGTATGCATTATTTGAAAAATATCTGTTCATGTCTACTGCTTGTTTTTAATTGGATTATTCAATTTTTGGGTGTTGAGTTTGATAAGTTCTTAATAGATTTTGGATACTAACCTTTTATCAGATTGTTACTTGCAAATATCTTCTCCCATTCCAAGGTTGTCTTTTAGTTTTATTGATAATTTCCTTCACTATTTGGAAGCTTTTTATTTTTATGTAGTCCCAATAGTTTATTTTTGCTTTTGTTTCCCTTGCCTCAGGAGACATATCTAGAAGGAAGTATTTATAGCTTATGTCAGAGAGGTTACTGCCTTTGTTCTCTTCTAGGATTTTTATGGTTTCAGGTCTTACACTCAGGTCTTTAATCAATTTTGAATTTATTTTTTGTGTATAGTATAAGAGAGTGGTCCAGTTTCATTCTTCTTTTTTTTAATGCTTATTTATTTTGAGAGGGGGAAGAGTATGAACAGAGGATGGGCAGAGAGAGAGGGAGATAGAAAATCTCCATACTGTCAGCACAGAGTCCAATGTGGGGCTTGATCTCACCAACCGTGAGATAATCACCTGAGTCAAAATCAAGGGTCTGATGCTTAACTGACTGATTCACCCAGGTGACTCCACGCTCATTCTTTTTCATGTTGCTGTCCAGTTTTCCCAAGACTGTTTATGGAATAGACTGTCATTTTCCCGTTAGATAATCTTTCCTGCTTTGTTGATGATTAATTGACCATATAGCTGTGGGTTCATTTCTGGATTTTCTATTTTGTTCTATTGACCTATGTGTCTATTTTTATGCCAGCACCATACTGTTTTGATCACTACAGTTTTGTAATATAACTTGAAGTATGGGATTGTGATTCCTCCAGCTTTTCTTTTCTTTTTCAAGGTTGCTTTGGCTATTCAGGGTCTTTTGTGGTTCCATACAAATTTTAGGATTGTTTGTTCTAGCTCTGTGAAAAATAATGTTGGTATTTTGATAAACATTACATTAAATGTGTAGATTGCTTTGGGTAGTATAGACATTTTAAAAATATTTGTTCTATAAATCCACATGTATGGAAAATCTTTCCACTTCTTTGTGCCCTCTTCAATTTCTTTAATAAGTGCTTTACACTTTTCAGAATACAGATCTTTTACCTCTTTGGTTAGGCTTATTCCTGGGTATCTTATTAATTTTGGTATAGTTGTAACTGAGATAGATTTCTTAATTTCTCTTTATTCTGCTTCACTTTTTTATTACTAAAAAAATTTTTTTATAACAATAGAACTCCCCTAGGACCCAGCAATAGCACTGCTAGGAATTTACTCAAGGAATACAGGAGTGCTGATGCATAGGGACACATGCACCCCAATGTTCATAGCAGCACTCTCAACAATAGCCAAAACACGGAAAGAGACTAAGTGTCCATCAAATGACGAATGGATCAAGAAGATGTGGTTTATCTATACGATGCAATACTACATGGCAATGAGAAAGAATGAAACCTGGCCATGTATAGCAACATGGATGAACCTTGAAGGTGTTATGCTGAGTGAAATAAGTCAGGTAGAGAAGGACAGCTACCATATGCTTGCACGTATAGGTGGATTAGGAGCAACTTAACGGAGGACCATGAGGGAGAAGAAGGGGAAGATATTTGGGGAGAGGGAGGGAGACAAGCCATGAGAGACTCTTGAATGCTGAGAACAAACTGAGGGCTGATGGGGGTCATGGAGAGGGGAATGGGGGTGATGGGCATGGAGGAGGGCACTTGTGGGAATGAGCACTGGGTGTTATATGGAAACCAACTTGACAATAAACTATTAAAAGAATCATTGTCATATGAAGACATATTCAAAAAGTGTGCAGCCAAAAATATAGTAAAAGGAGTATTATATTAGGTAATTAATAAAAATATCATTTTTCTGGAAAAAATATTTTAAGGTTTATGTGTTTTTGAGAGATAGAGACAGAGCATGAGTGGGGGAGGAGCAGAAGGAGAAGGAAACACAGAATCTGAAGCAGGCTACAAAAGCTCTGAGCTGACAGCACAGAACCCGACGGGGACCTGGAA